CAGGCCACACTGCACAACACACCTCATGCCACTCCACACACCACAAAGCATCATACATTAAATCGCACACATACACCACCCTGCACACCACACCACACCACACCACACCACACCACACCACACCACACCACACGGCACACCCCTCCTCATGCCGCTCCACACGCCACACCGCGCATCATACTACTCCACACCCCAGGCCACACTGCACAACACACCTCATGCCACTCCACACACCACAAAGCATCATACAACGAATCACACACATACATCACCCTACACAACACACCACATGACACATCCTTTCTCATGCCGATCCACCCGCCTCACCACGCGTCATACGACACACCCACTACACAACACACCTCATCTCATACCACTCCACACTCCAAGCCACAATCCACTACACCACATGCCACTCCACACGCCACACTACAAAAACACCTCATGCCACTTCACACACCACAAAACATCATGCAACGTTATCACACACGTGCACCACCCTACACAACACACCACACCTCATACCACTCGCCACATACCAGTCCACACACCATACTACTTCATACAACACACCACAATACACATACGCCAGTTTCCTCAACACACTACACTTCACACCACACTACCAGCATACCACACACATACACCACATCACGGAACATACCACATACATACATCACACTACTCAACATACCGGACTATGCACCGTTCCGTACACCACACCATCTCACACTACATCATACCACAATCTACTCCACACATCTCAACACTCCTGTCACTGCATCACAGACTAAAGCACATACTACATATCATTCACCACACCACATAACATACACCAAAGCACACCAGAATCCACGCCTCTCACCCCATCATACCACACACCACACCGAAATGAAACCGACCTGAGCGTGTATTTACGAAATAAATACGTAAAAATCCCCAAATAACACACTGTATTTCTTTGTAACCCAAGAAACTTGTTCCCATGCCCCCTTTGGCGTGTGCGCATGTGTGACGCGCGTGTGTTGCGCAGCGGTGCGGTGCGAGCCGCCGCCGCCCATCGCCAACGGGCGCTTCTCCGCCGGCGCCGGCAACCACTCGGGCGGCGTGCGCGCGGGCGTCGTGGTGCAGTACTCGTGCGCGCGTCGCTTCGCGCTGCACGGGCCGCGCGCCCTCACCTGCCTGCCCTCCGGCCGCTACGACCTCGACCCGCCCGTCTGCAGAGGTCAGTCGCGCTCTCGCTCGCTGTTGCCTGGGAAGCGACGCGATCCACCAATCGGCCGCGAGGGCACGAGGGCCTGCGACCCCGAATGTGGAGGGCTGACCCGGCGATGTCACCGGTCACATCACATTTGCAGCCCGCTTGCTCACCTACATATATACGAAAAGAAAAATGTTACAGTAGGGGAAATCAATAAACAAAAATAAAAGCAAAGAAAGTTTCGGGCGTTATCAATTGAAAACAATACGACTGAAGACGATTGATGAGTCGACAAAACGATTAATACAACACGATTAAATTGATCTTTATAAAACTTTAATGGGGTAAATGTTTACACAGGTTATTCACTTTCGTGAAAACTCACCGTTTGGTTGCAATTATTTAAGAAGAAAGTATCAAGTTCTTTTCTTTGTCATTTTAGTCACAACAGAAGTTATGATACTTCACCTAACGTATCGCCGGATATCCGGCGATAAGGTGGATATTCAATCAAAATATTGTCAAACATTTTATAAATGAAATGATATCAATATGGGATTGGCACCTAATTTCGAAATATGCTATAATTGCCACGATTTCCTGAACTTCATATTCTGTACTCATGTACGAAAATAATCTATTCAAAATTTCTTAATACGTTAGATAATTAATACTGTTTATCAGAAGCGTGTACTGTTTGTGGGGCAACTATTTTTTTCAATAACTTGCACCTTCCCAAAGTAATACGTCACAACTTATTTATTTATCCACTCCTTTATCTATTAGCACATACACCGATACATTTCTCGTTTCATTTACAAAAAATACGTTAGTAATACTCGTGCTTTTCCCATGTTAGTAACTATGTATTGTGATGTCCAAGAGTGCAATTGACCTAAAAAGCTGCTCTCTGTGTCCCACAGAGGAGGCTGCGTCGCCGGTGCCCGTACGCGGCGGCCCGCTTTTTTATCTGCCTTTCCCCGTTCCCCCCCACCCGTCGGCCCAGTTCGCGAACCCGGCCACGGGCACGGCGCGCACCGGCGGGGCACGCCGGCTCCGGGCGGTCCCGCCGGTGCCCGAAGGCACGCCACCGCCCCTGCCGCGGCCACCCGCAACCGCGCCCACGCAGCGCGCCCTCGCCCGCGCCCGCGCGGCGCCGAAGCCCACGCGCCGCTCCGCCGCCGCACGATCATCGGCGCCCACACGCACATCAGGCCCGCCCCGCGCCACCAGTCAGGGACAACGAGGTGCCCGACAGCGCGCACGTGCGCAACACGGGCTCCCCGGGCGCCAACCTCGTCCCGCCGCTGGAGGAGGAGCGCCGCGAGCCCGGCGGCGCGCGCCTCAACCTCGGTAAGCGGCCAGGGGGCACAAAGAAGTGCGAAGCGGTCTCTAGAATGTAGCGCCCTTGACACTGGACCCGACCGCCGCACGCGTGACTTTCGACCGCAGTTTTGCAATCTCGTTACGAGTCAGCTCTGGATTATCGCCGCTTGCTTGCATGCTAATTTTCATTATGTTTGCTTGTTTGGGTGAATTGGCTCACATCTGGCCTTTTCCATCTCGGATTGTTCGGAATCTGGAATTACTGCGACTTTACTGTACTTCCAATTCAAATCTTTTTTCTGCAAACTTCAGCAAACTCTGTGGCAAAATAATAATATTCTTCCTGCACTTCATTACCAACTAGGTAAACATAATCCCCATCGTAAACGACTAAAATGCAAATTACCAAAACAATTCTTCGTAACCTCATCCTTTCGAATCTTATTTAACTTCATGAAGTAGTGTTGTTGATGCGTGAGCTTCATTTATAGTGCTACCAATTTTCTTAATTTAATATTCAATTTATTCATCTTCAGCTGCCAAGGCTCTAATTGACAAATGGCATGTAATTATTTAATAAAAATATACAAAACTCATTTTAATTGGATAATTTGTATTGATATGTTAGCTTCGTAAGAATTAATTGTTGCACCTAATGTTCTACGATTTGTAACAATTTTTACATGTAATTAATGAGATGTGTGAAAACAGACAGAAATTGCTGTGTAATAATATTACATAGGCCTAATCAAGGGCGAGAAAGTACGTGCTGTTATGGGACTATTAGTTAACTATATGTGGCCCAGCGAAAAATGTGTTTATAAATCCCAATCTTCGTTAGATAACATCGAAACACGATTTTCCTAAACGTTCTTGACCTCAGCCATATTTTCTACATGAACATCATCTTTCAAATGAACCTTTGTGATATTAATTAATTTTTATTTGGGGTGAAACTTCTCAAATAAGAATGTAATGTACGAAATTAACTCGGATAAACTTAATTGATAAACATTCTGTGCGTGGCCACTTTATACTTCATAATTCAACTTTCGAGCAAACTCAACCTTGAGGGGGCAACCTTGTAGTTAATCAATATTCCTCAACCATTCCTCGCTTTTTTATCTGCAAAGATTCTTTCCAGAAATTCATCCATTTTTGGGTTTCTATTTAACTTTTCCTGATGTAAAATAAATAATACGTTCTGAGCGTGTCGTAAATACTCCTTAGTTCTAATGTAATTGAAAGTCAATTTGTATTATATATTTGAACTGATCTCAAAATCTGTCTTGTGATGTAGAGAGTTCTCGCCATTGGTAATTGCTTCAAATTTATTTCTTTATTTTTAACCAATGTAAAATATTAGCTGAAATATGGTGTTATATCATTAATAAGAATTAAAGTAATTACTTATCCACTTTTTTCCTCTTCTTCACACAGGAGCCATCATTGCTCTGGGAGTGTTTGGCGGATTTGTGTTCCTCGCTGCGATCATCACCACAATAGTTATCCTTATCCGCAGGTGAGTGTTTCGTATATTTTTCATATTATTTACAGTAATTTTTCTAATACTTGAAGCCAAAGATTGAATGTTTTTATTACTTGTCAAAATAACATTTTTCAGAGATGTAACTAATAATAATATGATACATGCCTAAGAAATTCTCTTGATCTATTGCTATTTATAAAATAAACAAAATAATATGTAGTGATTGCATCAAACTTTTTTCAAATACAATAAAATTATTTATCAAACATTAAAAAATTAAACTTAAAGCATGTTCTTTCATTTATTGCATGTGGCAAACTAAGCTCCAATTAAAATGTACTTGCCCTTGTAGTATTAAAAGTAACTACAAATAAACTAATATTACCTAATACCCCGTAAAGTATAAAATTTGAAAGGTTTTGTGTGATTAATAAATATATATTTTGAATTAATAAACTAACAATATTCTTGCCTTATGTTCTATGTAAGAGCTCAAACATCTGGGTAACTTGTTCCTTGTCGCTCTTTAAGAGCATAAGGGTACATTGCTTGTTTTCTGGCTATTCTTTCCCCCAACCAATCCCCATGAGCATGCCATCTGTGAACCTGCAGTGATGCACGAATGTGTGTGAGACGATTGTGTGAATGCATGTGACTCTTGTAACAACATAAACACACTTCCTCACTAACCTTTCACCAACCATGCTTAAAATAATAAAGAAGTACAATAATAATTCTTCATATTCTTTCTTTCATGGTTGTTGTTTGAAGTCATGTCAGCCGAAATCGGAATTGGGGCTTTTAACAATCGTGAAGATTCCTGAGTGTTTAAAGAGGTGTTCAGTGCTTTTGGATTGCTCTACAACAGTGAAAGTAACTTTGGGTGGACTGTCTTTCGGACTTCTTCTAATGAGAGAAGAGAACTTTCCACTGTCTTTTCTACGAGAGGTGTGATGAGAGACTAAAGAAGACCTCTCCTTCAAGAACAACTTAACGAAATTTTATGCAACTATTTTCCACGTAGTTGTCTCTGAAAAGCAGAATAAAAGTTTTTGTGCCGATAATTCGCCGTTTTCCGGCGCATGATTACAATGCTTTCTCTTCTTACGCCGAGAAGTGCGAGAAAGCCAAAGGTTCACAGATGGGGAGAGGAGGGAAAGGAATCGTCTGAAAACAAGCTTTGCAGGGCCCCAGATGCAGGAGGAGGAGGAGGAGGAGGGCTGGGCCTGTGGGGAGAGGTGAGGGACGGGTGTTGTGTTGCAGCGGGCGCAAGCGGCGCGCCCCGCCCCCGCGACCGCCCTCGGTGCCTTCTCGCTGGTACACGTTGCTGGCGCTTCCGTTCCCCGACCAGCAGGTCGGGCGGAGGGAGCTGGCGCGCGGGGCCGGGTACCGAGCGCGCGCCACGGCGGGCTATTTCTCTAACCCTCTCTAAATGTGCCATGGCTCTGCAGGTATAGTACCCTTCTTGTACATTTCGAGAGTAAAAAGCTTGTTTTCAGACCGTAGCCTTTTCCTCCATGTGTCTTTCATGTATTTTCTTCTCATTTTATGTTTTAAAAGAATGTTCTTTATACAAGACATTTGGATTAAAATATGATTGTGAAAAGTAAAATAAATGTATAACTAAATTATATAACAATAATCCTTCTGTCACTCTTTATCTGTCATTTAACTATTGTTTCTCCTCTTGATTTATACTGTCCTTTTGTATGAATGAATATGATGTGTTGTTGCTTGTTATGTGTTCCTCTTTACTTTTTTTGCTTATAAATTGTGCATGTTACTTGTCACTTTATTTTGTTTCTGTCGAAAAATCACAAAACTACACTGTTGTTTCTATTCATGCACAAACCTTCGCGTACATCTGCAACATTTCATCGCAGACTCTTGCAATGCAGTGGCGGCGGAAGTCCGGCTGGGGCCCCAGGCTTGTTTGAGGGTTCCCTTGGTAAATGTTCCCCCTTGACACAATGTTGCCTCTCGGTAACTGGCAGGTTCAGTGCCTCTCAGTTGGTCAGTAGCGGATCCAGGGGAGAGCATGGAGGCCCTACCCCGAAGGCCCAGAGATTTCGTTTGTTACCTTCCTTTATTTGGCAAATTTGATTTAAATATTTATATTAGAATTATGTAATTGTTTAAAAAGAATAGTACAGTATCGTAATTACACTACAAAAACACAATATAATAACAAATATGTTTGTTATTTAACAAAAATCTGTGTCCCCCCTCCTAAATGATCGGCTGGATCCGCCCCTGCATTCGGTGCGAGTCATTTTGGACCCCTCAGTACAGTCAGTGGGGAGATGCGACCTCCCGTGAGGTGGTGGGGGTCGGCCCCGTCCGAAGCGCCTGTCCTTCGATCGCGGCCCGCGAGCCATGCGCGCCTGCGGGAATCTGTCGCTGCCGCCACTTGCTCGTAGAGCAGGTGGCGTCGGCGGCAGCAGTTGCGGGAGGCACCGCCCGCCGCGCCCGGGGCTCGCGAGGCCGGCGTCTCATGAGTCTGTCGTCCCGCCAGGAGCCGCAGTGCGAAGCACTATCGCCACCGCGCCTCCCCCGACTGCAACACAGTGGCGTCGTTCGACTCGTCCGGCTCGGAGGGCCGCGCCGGCCTCAACCGGTACTACCGCCAAGCGTGGGAGAACTTGCACCACCAAGCGGGCGGCGGCGGCGGCGGCAAGAACGCCCTGCGCCGCCAGGAGACACTGGATGAACCCGTGCGAGGGGCAGGGGAGCTGCTCGTCACCACCGGCATGTCCAAGCCCGCCCCGCCGCAGCAGGAGAAGAAGCGCCACCACCACCACCACCATCACCACGGGCCGTCCTCCAGTGGAACCAAGGAAACGAGCAACGCGGCTGGGGATTGGCGCAACCGCCCCAGCAAAAACCGATACTGAACTGTCGTAGGAAAAGGAAACCCCGAGTCAGTTCTGAGTGATTCTGTGTAACCTGTGGTTGTCCATTTCTTGTAGATGTATGGATACTAACATCTCACAAGATAATAATTTAATAATTTTATTGCATTCCAAAGAGAGATGAGGGTATTTATTAATTTAAATTGCCTAGATACGTTTACCACAGGTACATAGAACATTCTTATGAGATGCACATGAATCACCGCAGTGCTCTAATGCGTTTATAGTTGGTAAATTATAGAGACCAAATGACTAAAGAGATGGTCTGAGGCAAGGTACCAGCAAGTTCAAGAAATGAAGATTCTTTGTTGGCAAGTCAGGATGCAGCTCATTTTAATTTTGACTAGTGTATGAATCGTTTTACGTATTGTAGCATATATTTTGCCATTTTGAGATTCTTTACAGTAGGAAATCAGTTTTCTTATCGTGTAATTTCAATATTTTTTTCCTCAAAATGTGTGTAGAGTTTACACATGTTAAAAACATAATTTGAAAAATCTGAAATGAAAATATCTTGCTAATTATAATAGTTTTACTAATTTATTATATATGTAGAATAAAATGAACGTAAGTTGTTACCTTACAGATAAGTAGCTAAGTGTGAATCTGTTATAGATATTTATATATGTTGTAGTGGTAGCAGAAGACAAGCTGATTTTCAACTGTAAAAGTCTTCTTTTTTTCAATCATATTAACTACTTAGAAACTCATAGGAATAATACATCGAGTTTCATTCTAAACTCCAGGGAGTTTGTTATGTTAACATGATGTAATTCATTATTTACGTCAAGGAAAACCCTAATTACTCTATGACATGAAATGACTGTCTGCACAACTTATAGTTTTTTGAAGTATTCACAACTGACTTACGGTGTTAAGATGCATATGAGCCACGTAAAAGTAACATTAATGCATAGCATTTCGGTAGAGTATTATCACCGATGGAGTTTGTATCCAGGGAAAGATGAAACAATCTGGGAAGTGGTGCAGCAGCAGGTCAGGTCATGCACCCCTTGGCTGTTCTCTAGCAAAGAGAGGCCCAGCTGATGAAGTGCATGATATTGCTCTCCCCAGAACCACTTGATGTCTTGGTGAGTGCTATTACTCTGCCCACAGCATAGTTGCATGAATTTTTTTCAGATACCTATTTCGACACATCATTAAAACTACTAAGAAGGGCTTTGGTATATGTAAGTAAAGGCCCTTTCTTTTCAATCTAGTCTTTTGATAAGAAATCTTTATATCAAATAAACTGGTATAGTCAAAAATTATATATTATGTCATGAAGTTTCATGAATTGAAATATTGAAATGATCTTTATATTCAGCTGCATTTTTATTGTCTTGTACATACTTCATATATAACTCATAAATAAATATATACAAAAATTACAAATTTATTAAGAAGTATTGAAGTACGAAAATACGATTACTTATTATTATTTAATAATTCTATTTTAGCATATCTTTACATGTGTGAGGTGATATTCCTGTCACATTGTTTGTACCGAACACATTTCTTCTTTTCCATTGGCATTTTGTGGTTTCTGGGGTGGTTCAGTTAATGCAATAATGCAGCAAATGAAGATTTGGTATTTATTTTCCCACATATTTCCATATCATATATTGTAGACATGATGTTACATGTATTGATTTTTATACATAAAACATGAATTCTTAATCATTTTTGTTGGTATTTTTCTGAACGAAACCCCCACTTCAATTTTCCTTATTTCCAGGACCATTGAAATTTTGTTTTTCATTACATTTCAATACGTTGTTACTGAGAAAAAATTCAGGCTGTCTATAGGAAACCAAAGTCAACATGTTTTAACCAACATGAAACTCCATAAAACTCTTCACAGAAACATGTTTCAATAGTTTGTAAAAAGCAGTTGAATAATAAAATGTAGAAGTTATGATGAAAACAAACAAACTTGAAAATTGCGTATAGTGTAAAAGACACTTTCTCGTATGTGAATATAATTAGACATCATAAATCATTGATGTCAGTGTCGTGTATGTATATATTTACTGCATCTATAAGATGCAGAAGCTTCTTTCAGAAGCATATTTTAAATCATGCTTCTATAGGAACATCTGCACGAAAAGCAGATATTAGAATATCGTTCATCTGTAGGAACATCTGCTTGAAAAGCCACAGTGTGGAAATATCTGCATGTGAGACATCGCTAGTTTAAACAAATAATAGTTTGCTTGAAAAAGTCGTACGCCTTAGCTGATGTGTCTCTCTCTTTGAAGGTTATACAAGCACACTAAAGCAATTGCAGAGGATGAGGCTTATCGTACTTATAACGCCCCCAGTGATAACAATAGAAACATTATCTGCCAGGTCAAGCAGACGTTCCTACCAGAAGGTTAACACAACTGAGGTATAGATCCTGTAAGAAATCTTTCCTCTTTTATGACTATTGTATTATGAATAATTTATTGATTTTGGAACTTAATTGAGTGTTATAAAGAACGAAAAGTAATAGGCAGTTTCTTATGATCAAAATCTTTGGAAAATTAGTGTATGTAAACTATATATGTAAGTATAATATATATACACGATATATTAAACGATTAATATGTAATAAAACACAGAAATTACAAAAACACTCATTTATTTACAAAAATACAAAATTTATGGTTATGCTCAATTTACACAATAAAATATAAAATTACAAAGTTGACGCGAAGCGATCTACCCGAATATGATAATGTTATGCGCGGAGAGAATGGAATTGGTGACGACCAGCGCCACGGTGAGACAAATGACGGCGATGACGTTGTTGGCGAACGCGGGGCCCTTGCTGGCGTCCAGGGCCAAGTCCTCCTCCTCCTCCCCCTCCTCCTCCACCGCGCCGCCCGCGAAGAGCGCCTTGGGCAGGCGGCGCGCGTAACCGGCGTGCAGTCGCGCGTAGAGCAGCGGCCGCGCCAGCCGGCGCCCCGCCCCCGCCTCCGCGCTCCACTCCGACTCCGACTCCAGCGCCGTGTCTGCCGAGCAAGGTGCGTACGGGAGACAGTTTCATTTCCCCCTCCTCTCTCCGGTTGCTCGGGAGAGGCAACAATTTATTCATTATTGTGCGATTTTTCTAGCTCTGCCCCTACTTCACGGTCGCGTTGTGGCACTGTATTTCGCGTCTTTCTCGGTCGTGCCGCTAGATGTCGCATGATCGCGACCGTATCCAGCACTGCTATACGGTCCGCGATCATGAGACAGCTTGGCGGCAGCGACCGAGAAAGACCGATAAACAGTGACATAATGTTACGTGAAGTAGGGCCTGAGTGTCAGAGGTAGAAAAATCGCAATATATACTGGGGTACATAAATATCTGCGGCCTTTGTGGCTTAAACGGAATTGAAAGGACCTATCTTTAAAATGCTATCTTATAACTAACTTATATCTATTCTATAACTATTGACAAAAAGTATCTTTGGCGCTTATTTCAGCTATACATTTTTGTTCTTAAAATTTTTGTAAGTTGTTGTTATTAATTTAGTATGTTTCCAAATGATTTGAAAAGACTAATACGTACAAGACTTATTGAATTCCTTAATTCTACCAACGCTATTCGTCGCAATTCAATTCGGGTTCGGACTAATGCCTCTCACAAGCACCAACTCCTCAACTGAATCTACAGCGCAAGGCGGCCACCATAAAAACATACAGCACAGTTTTTCCTGAATATAGTAAGTCAGGCGTACCGTAGTTGGCACTCGGGCCTAATTTATAAAAAAGAATACTAAGAGTTTCCGAGCACTTACAAAAGGTTATCTAAATATTTTCTTCGACCTCCAACCAGCTGTATCATTGCTGCAGGTGTGCCATCAATGATCGATACCATCTCCGCATTCTGTTCAACCATTTTTAGCTACGACTTTCTCTCTCTATACTTGGTACACTAAGGTTGACTCCAAGATTGCGTTTTACGAGATGATATCAGCCTTTTAGCAAAGCCTCGATACATTGTCGTAGACAGGCCCGTCATATAATGTGGGTATGGTGGGTAGATACCTCACACGAAACATACCGAGTGGGCAATATACCCACTCGGATTCGGTAGAGAGAAATATTCCATAAATGTCAAATTTGATAAATACGTTACTCCGTATTGAGGCCAACAAAAACGTACTCGTATATTGATCAACTATGTTGCAAGGTCGGCTCACCAGTATTACGATTTTACATGTTTAAAGCAATATAACCGACAAAATTGATTTGCAAAATTGACGAATGAGTTTATATTTATTCAAAGCGCCGTGCTGCTTTTTCTTGCAAAAATTAACTGTTTAAGGTACATAAAATAATAATTCAGTGATAATCATGACAATTTTTTAAAAAAGTTTTGCATTTGCCCCCTTCATGTGCGTTTCACCCTTCATGTGATGGAGGGGGAGGCAGTTGCCTTACTCGGGTCGACTACCCGTTCGGACTTAACACCAATCGCCAGACCTGGCCGTAGCCAAGGACTGTATTCAAAACACACCTAACGAGTATGTTGACTGGAATATACAAGTCTCACTAGTTGGAGACTTCATCTAGTGCCTTTCACCTAAAGGTACTTTAACACCAGCCTTTTTTTTCCCAAACTTCGTGTACCAGAGAAAAGCAGTTTCATGTAGTAGTGGAATCTTTCAGAGCATTTACAAATAATGAGAGAAATTATGTGCTGTTGTAGCACAACTAGATTCATATTTTTTTGCTTATATCAACAAGTTACGTGTGTTCTCGCGGATAAGTCGTTAATTGGCGAAAAAAAGCTTTAAGGCATAAATTAAGGAACTATATCTTCTTTTATTTCATGTAGAGCCATCATTTACAAAAAATGGATGGTTTTTTGTTTTTTAAGCTGAAAAAAGGAGGAATTTTGATTTTAATTTTCTGCTTAAAATAGTATTTCTAGGTAAATTTTTTATTGGTATACCTGATATTCGCATTAAGCGACCCCCCCAAAAAATGCATGAACAAAATTTCAAAACTACATCAACGCCCCCTTATTTTTTACTATTTGACTGGACTACTACATAGAATTCGCTCAATAGTCACGTCTCGTAAACACACTCTCACAATTTTAAATAAACGCTCTTGACCCTGATCAGACACTCAATTGCATTTATTTAGTTTCAGCCTGACTGAAATATTTTCACTACCCGATACATACATGTCACGCGGTCTGCCATTACGTCGAAACTACTTCATCGTTGGGCATCTTCGTTTTCATCTCTCGTTGGAAGTAACATATTTCATATAAAGTAATCTTACACTTATTAGGCACGTTTGCATCTGATTTTATATTGTGTATTATAGACATTTACTTGAAATTCACCGAACTGTTTTATTACGCAAATACTTACTACAAAATATCCGAGGAGGGATGTCTGTTGCGGACTTGCAAGCAATCACCGACTGCATATCCATGTGACAATGTTTACAACCATTTCAATCTCTTGCTGGATAAAGAATAGCTACATTTTAAAAAACTCGTCCCTCTTTCTTGTTTTAAAATAGATATTAACGTGTACAGAGAACGTGTCAGAGAACGTCTTCATTGACAGCGTTGAAATAAAGAATCTGACCCACAGAGATTGAAAATATTATCATATGATTGTTAGTTATTATCTCTCAAACATAAGTTATAATTGCTTCATGGGAAATTTTAGGTTATCAGAAAACAGGAAAAATTCCAGTCACTTCAGTAACCATTGAGCTATTACATCAGATTCTTTATTTCAACGCTGCTCAATGAAGACGTTCTCTGAGCAGTTCTCTGTACACGTTAATATCTACTTTAAAATAAGAAAAGGGACGAGTTTTTTAAAATGTAGCTATTTCTTTATCCACAGAGATTGAAATGGTTGTAACATTGCCACATGGATAGGGCAGTCGGTGATGCCTGCCAAGTCCGCTATAGACAACCTTCCCTCGAGATTTCTCAAGTATATGCTAATAAAATTAGTTTCCGTGAAATTTCAAGTAAATCTCTGTTATACACAAATATAAAATCATGATGTAAACGTGCCAAATAAGGTAGAGATTGCATTTATATGATATTGTTATTTCAACGAGATATGGAAAGCGAAATGCCAAAACGATGAAGTAGTTTCGAGCGTAATGGCAACCGCGTGACATGTATGTATCGGGTAGTGAAATATTTAAGTCAGGCCTGAGACTAAATAAATTGCAATTGAGTGTCGATCAGAGTCAAGATCGGTTATTTAAAATAGTGGGGCTGTGTGTGTACGTGCTGTGCGGATTGCAGCGAATTCTATTTGTAGCAGTCCAGTCAAATAGTGAAAATAAGGGGGTTTGATGTTAGTTTTGAAATTTTTGCTTCATTATGTTTTTTTGGGGATCGCTTAATTGAATATCAGGTATACCACAAAAAATTTACCTAGAAATAACTATATTTTAGCAGAAACTTAACACACAAAATTACTCCTTTTTCGCTCAAAAAAACTCAAAAAACATTCATATTTTTGTAAATGATGGTTCTAAATGGAATAAAAGAGATAAATTCCTTCATTTATGCCTTAAAGCTTTTTTCAGCAATTAACGACTTAGCCGCGAGAGCCACACGTAACTTGTGATATTTAAGCCAAAAGAAAAAAAGAAAAGAAAAACCTAGTTGTGCTACAACAGCACATAATTTCTCTCATTAATTTGTAAATGCTGTGAA